AGCCCATTCGGGTGACATGTTGTATGCATTTCTCTGAACTATATTTCGGAATGGCGCACTTAACTTGTAAGAAATTGTTGGAAGCTGTGGTCCAGACTAACGGCGATGGTAACACAGCGTAATAGATTCCTCATAGCACGTACACGTCTATCGCGAACTATTCCCTTTCGACTCTAATTCATAGTTCCCTTCTCTTCGCTTCTCTTGCTACCAATACAAACGTCACTCTTGCGCTGCGATGCCAACCTGTACTCAACAGCGTAAAGAAGAGCCTGAACGTCGATGATCCGATGGAGGGTAGTCAGATTTCTGACTCCTCGATGATGTCCTGTACAATAGCAAGCTTTTGATACCCATCAAGCTGCGATGTGAGTTATGTGTGCTTGGTGCCGGCTGGAAGGGAATCCGGGGTAATGCTGTAATTTCATCATCCCGGCTGTACATCGATGTCAACTTGCTGCGTGAACTTCGTGGCGGTGTCTGGAGCTTGACAGGCATGGGGGCATTGATTTTGTCGAACTCTACAACGTGTTCTTTGATGTCGCTCACCGCATCATGGTACATCGTAGTGGGATCGGATGTCTTGATCCGGGTAATTCTGGCGGGAATCCGGCGAAGCCCCGGCGTATATGTTTCTGGCTGCTCATCTGGAGAAAGACTCGGAACATCATCCACATCTGGAGGAGGGGGATGGAGAGACTTCGGTATCGTCTCAAGTAGATCGAAGTTGAAGTTGAAGCCAGAGAAACGGCTAGGTGACTTCCAGAACTCGTTCGCGATAAGAGGAGGGCCAAGCATGTCTACATCTTTCTGGTATGCGTCCCAACGTCCCTGCGTTTCGCGAGCAGCGCCCTCTGCGCTTCTGATTTGAGACCGCTTGCGGTGGCCGGCGATTGTATGACGCGGGCCAAGGTCCTGGTTGTATATTTGCGAGGCACTTTCAAGCTGAAGGATCCGTGTTTGCATGTCGAGCATTGCCTCTCTCTGTGTCGCTAGCTCGGCTTGAACATTGTGGATGATTTCGATTAAAGTGCGGTTCGTCTGGCGTAATTGAGATTTGGTGATCGAGGTTTGGGATGGCCGCCTCGACCTAGAAGAACGCTGGTGCACGCTCGAGGACTCATAGGCTGCGGCGATGGATCCTTCGGGGCCACTCAACAAGTCCAGCATAGTTGCGCCAGACAGGTTTGCCTTGTGGCTTCGAGATGCGCTGTCGTCATGGTAGAAGGTATGTGCGGGTTTGGCAGGTGTACATGGAGAATTGAGAAAAGTCGCCATCTTGCTGTATGCGTGCGTGAGAAAGCTGGAATGACGACGGTCAAGTAAAGAAAGTTAGTGCTAGCGAGCATGAACGCCTATATTGATTTTGCAAAAGCATTGCAATGTTTCGTCGTTTCTTCATCACCCTCAGACGCCAACCCGTTTCGCCACTGTGGTTAACTTCGCAGGCATGCGATGCTGATACTATAAGGAGTGCCGCCAGGGGCACGGAGCTGATGAGCATTACCATTCGTTCAATGTGCAACGGAGGTGTGGCGCTGGGCTAATCGCGTCACGGTGAGCACACGAAAAGGACTACCAAACATCGTCAAGACGCTGGTGTCGGGGCTGTCCTGGCGTTGTGGGTTTCAGCTGTCGAGGATCGTGTTTCGGCCAGGAGTGCGGAAGGCACGGCTCCAGGCTGTCGAGGTCGCTTGCACAGACCTGGATGGCGACTAGCGCAGTTCTTAGCTCATGGAGAACATTCCGGACTGCGAAGCTCCAGCCTCCAGAAAATCGCGAAGCTTATGTCACGTTACTATACCTACTGCTACAACTCCAAGAGCAGCAGGTCTGTGTTTTCCGTTCAGGAGTCGCAGGCTGCTCCTTCCTTGCAGCGACACCTTGAAACCCACGCAGGGTGAGCCATGCCTAGGCACTTTCTGCCGGCGCGCAAGAGCGGCTTTACGCACAGATAGAGGACCTAGCAAGGAAGTTCCTGTACTGCTAATATCTCTTGCAGAGCATAGTCGCGTTATTGTCTTCTTTGGTTGCCTTATGCCGGCTGCGGCAGCAATACTGATGATGAGCTCTTACGCACCCCGCAATGCCCCTGGCACGTGTGTCTTCCGAGCTCTCTATTATGCGAAAGCCACTCACCTTCTAAACCTGCGTATCAAGGCTCCCGATACTGCTACCTCAACCACGCGTACTCGCCTCAACCACGCTCCTGCTAGTGGCATATCGCCGCTTGGGCTGCCGGATATCCATAGCCTATCACGGGGGTGCTGACGATGCGCGGTCTGCTCACCATAATCACCTTACGGAAACTTCGACAATATACGTGCTAATTTGAGCGCTCAGGAATGAATGAATGTCGTCGAAGAGGGGGAGAGTATCGTCCGAAGATACCGCAAGGACAGTCCACCTCTCGGAACCGAGTGGCTGTTCTTGAGCGAGTGCTCCGAGGAGTAAGAGGAGTCGGTCTCACGGTCTCGACTGCTAGAGCCCGGTAAGAAGCATGTCACCGGCTTTACGACAAGTGGAAATCATTCCGCGGTGAACGTGGGTAGAAGATCGAGCCATGTACAGAGCGCTGCTCCCAGCTACGTGACATCTCCAGTCCCATGTCACCTATGGCAGCTGCCAGGATCTGCATCCATCCAGGCACATGAGACACGCACACTCGGCTCCATAGGCCCGACCCGTTCGAAGACATTGTTGGTGCTGAGAAATACGGGTCATGCCATTTGCTCCACCTTACGAGCCTGCCGGTTTTCATCAATGCAAAAGTATATCCAGATGGTGTCTTGGCCGCCCGACTATACATGTGTAAGCCCCAGTAAAATCCAACCGCCCTCCCCTCGCTTAACCGAGACTGGCTAAGTAGATTCAACGAGTTTGTATCTGTCTTCAGATGCAGCGTCAAATAGCATCCCACCAACCTCGAACCAGAAGGTATTTACCTATACAAGCTTGGGGATGCTCGCTTGTGCATTTTTAGACGTATAGATCCAGATTCGCATCATGACGCGGACGCATCACACCGCATTCAACTACCGATCACCACGCGCAGCACTTCCGGTTAATATACGACTGGTCGACATTAGCCACACGTCGTCCTGGAGAGTCGTACCAAGACTACCATGCCGCATGCACTCCGCCGCCAAGATCGGGCACTAGATGAACGCTAATCTAGCTGCGGCGCGTGTACCGAAGCGAGCAATTGCCGCTGCCTATCACAGCCATGTTGATTATGGACCTCATCCTAGACAATCTGTGGAGAGTAGCACACAACAGGGAACGCAGTTTAGACTGCGCGGTGACGAGAACAGCGACAGCACAGATGTGTAGATCCAGAACGATGTCATTAGCACCTGCAGGAATACCGCACCAAGGCGCAGCAACCGGAAAGTATAAGAAGGCCGACTACATGGCATCTTGAGATCACCTTGAGCCTCCTCACGTCCACAGAGCATTTGCAGACATCATGGTTCAGCTCACACAAGCCCTCGCTGCCATTCTCTTGGCTACCGGTGTTGTCGCGCATCCTGGTGGCAACACCAACAAGGAGATCTTGAGGAGGCAGGCTCATTTGGATCATCCCAACCGTCGAAGTGTTCAGGCGTGTAAAAGGGATCTCGTCGAGACCGGGTGGGTCCGGGAGCAGCATCAGAGGCGTGAGGCAAGGCTCCACGAGCTTCGGGTTGCAGCTGGTTTCGCGAAGGAACACGAGCTCGTCCGTCGTGACGTCGCTGAAGTCGAGGAAAGCTACGGTGCCGAGGCAGCATGCACGCTTGACCCTGAATCCACTGAGGGTCCATACTGTAAGTGGAGAAGGTTGCATCTCTTGAGACAGGTTGGCTTACAAACTGATAGGGGTCACCGGTGAGCTCGTTCGCCAGGACCTTTTGACCGGAGAGAAGGGTGCCATCACCCACTTGGACGTCAACATTATCGACACTTCATCTTGCAAGCCTGTCACCGATGCCTACGTTGAGATGTGGGGAAGTAACGCCACTGGTGTCTACACGGGTGTTCAGGCGAAGGGCAATGGCGACGGCTCTGCTACCGCTATTGCGACCAATGCTCTTCGCGGCGTGCAACCCACCAGCGCCAATGGTACCGCTACCTTCATTACCGTTATCCCAGGACACTACGTCGGCCGCACGAACCATCTCCACAGTACGCTTCACTCCTGTCTTTTACCAACGCCTTACTGACAACCCTAGCCATCATCCACCATGGTGCTAAACTCCTTCCCAACAATACCATTCAAGGTGGCACGATCTCGCACGTCGGTCAGTTTTATATCGAGCAGAACTTCCTAGGCCAAGTTGAGAAGACTTCTCCTTACAACACGAACAAGCAAGCCATCACCACCAACGCAGTTGATGCGCTCTTCAACATGGCGAAGCAGGGTGGCGACGACCCAGTGATGAAGATTTCGCTCATTGGCAAGACTATCGAAGATGGGCTCTACGCTACCATCGATGTCGGCGTCAATCCCCGCGCGAGACAGAATCCTCAACCCGTAAATATGTGGACGGCAGATGGTGGTGTACCGGTCAAGGGAAGCCCATGGACAGGATACCCCGATACTTGCTTGTACTGTGGAATGAGGCCCCCGAAGGAGAAGAAGGACGTTCTCTCCGAGGAGTAAATTGCCCTGGGTAGAAAAGACAGCGTAGTGTCGTGGGCCGTGTCACATGCGTGGCTGATCCTGATGACTCTCAACACCGAGCAATATTGTACATAGCTTAGCTCCTAAGAATCAAGCTGCAATGTCTTGTACGAAATCTGGGAGTGCATCAAATGCGACGGCATAATAAATGTAATGGGCGGTATGTGAAAAGGTGGATGTTGTGGTTCGGGCGGAAGTACCTGGGTAAGCCGGCAACCTACAAGCCGTTCTCAGGGGGTACCTGAGTGCCAAGAGTCTAGCACGCGCCCCGCCCGCGGCGTTGGACGCGCCCACGCGTCGTTCCTCCGCTCGACCTGCTCAACAAATGCACGCGACCATGTCGACCCTCCCGGTGCTGCCGGCAGATGTACATCTTCTGATATTGGATTATGTATGCGCGGAGACCCTAAGACACCTCCCATCGGCCGATGTGCTAAGTCCAGCAGATCCACTTGCCTTCGCACCTCCAGGCCCTATGTCTGACGTCGAAAGCGCTATGCGACCTCGCCAGGCCTCGACTGTATCGGAAGGTCACCATCAACGTACTCGATCCATCGGAAGTCGCACGGTTCGAGAACTGCATGGCCGAAGGTGCCCAAGCGCATCTTGACGCTACAAGGAGCTTGACGTTGATGGACAGCCTTCCCCCGGCAGAAGCTCCCGAGTTCCAGACCAAGCCGCATCGACGCTTCGACCGTGAAGACAGGTTGACATCTGCTCAAAGTAGCGCGATAGAAGCGATACTAGACTATTTCCCTCCGGACTGCCTACAATCTTTTCGGTGCGTCCTCGATCTTCGGAATGCTGCACATGCCAGCCTGTCGCATGCTCTCGTCATAACCTCGCGGACTGTCATGTCAGAACTTTACTGAATTGTGATAGGTTCCTCTCGACCCTACCGTTGCCGTCGAACATAGCACGCGAATTTTTCCTTAAACAAATGGGCACATTAACACACGTACACCTAAGACTCGAGGACCTATTTCAATTACAATACCTCGACTGTGTGCGAACTGCGGACCTCTGGCTCCCCCATCCAGAAGAAACCTGGTCGGAATTGGAGGAAGAGAACTTTCTGGACTCCCTGGAGGACATCGGCAAGTATAAGGATCTGGAGAGACTGTACCTTGGAACCAAGTTTGATAGGTATTCACACGATCTTAGCCGAAGACTCGCCGAAACCTTTTCGTCTCTAGACGAATCGTATGGGCGCCTAGAGAAGCTTCGCCAACTTTCAATATCCGGAATCCCTCTCGGCATCGATACATACGGACTCAGCAAGATTATATCGTTTCCTCAGCTCACACATTTGACTCTTTGGGCATGTTCCTGCAGCCAAAGGTTCATCTCCAATTTGGTACATGAGCTTGGCGACCAGGACTTATCGTTGAAACATCTAGGACTGGAGCTAGTCGACGACGACGAGGTGGAAGACCCGGATGATGATACTCCCTACGAAGAGGACGATGACGCCGTCGAAGAGTTGATTAGCCGCTGTCCTGAATTGAAAAGTCTGTGTTTGCAGTGGAGTGATAGGGGGTGGATAGATTTCACGTTGGAGTCCTTCAAGCAAATTCTGGCGATTGTTGGACAGCAGCTTGTTGTTCTCTCGATACACATGTGGGACACTAGAGGGCGCTTAGATGACAGCGAACCACCATTTTGGGAAGAGATATCTCTAGCATGTCCAAACTTGGAACAACTCGCGTTCAATCTTAGCTCAGGTATAATGTTGAATTACAAAGGCGGGTTCGATCCAGACTTGGTAAGACTGTACAGTATCTGATTTCACGTTCCATCTCTAACATATATACAGTCACCCATCTGCAAATTGACCAAGCTACGCACCCTTCAACTTCGGGAAAGGTGGGGTCACGACTGCTGCAATTTCGGAGAGGAGAGTGACGATGTTTATGGAGACATCGAGCGCCAAGCTCATCTATTTGCAAAAGATTTCTTTGCGCATCTAGAAAACCAATCTAGCTGTCCATCCCTGGACACGCTCGTACTGGGCATGGAAAACCAGGTCACGAACAGCAAAGAATTACAGGTCAGAAATCGCGGAAAAGAGATGCCGCCCGCGCGTTGCTTCCGCCGAACACGCAAGATTCGTGATGATGAAAGCACGCGCAGCGAATCCCTTCCCATATCTTTGGCAGAGTGCCGAGCGACAAGTGACTACACAGAGGTTCTCGACTGGTACACCGGCTGTGAGTGTCTCTATGCGAACTGCGTGTGAAGATATACACTGACTTTATACTTCAATATTCAGGGCAGGGTGACTGCGACTGGATGTGGCGACTACCTGGCAGGTTCAACGATGATTAGGGTGGATTTATCTTCGACTGTGGGAGAGCCTCGCAACCCGTAGTCAACCTGAATTCAGCATGACTCAAGTATTACAAGAAGATGATGAAGGCTCTAACAACAGTGAGACTGAACCGAGCATTTCAATGACCATAGTTCAGGGTCGTGTGAAGAGCATGTTCATTGGTGCAAGCGGGGGTAGGCTCGCGACTTTGGCATTCGCTAGCCTCAACCATGGTTTCGTGTCGAGATCCACCACTACCGTCCTCGTTCACGACCACTCCAACTTCATGGCGATTCCTCATGCGATCTGCGTCATCACCGAACTATGGTAATCATGAAAAAGGTTCATTAGTTCATTAAGGGCGGGAGCGATGACTAGGACATGGCAACTACGGTACAGCATTGCGAGATTTGGCACACGAATTGCATAGCTCCACTGTGCTTGGACTGTACTTATTATAAAAGCATATGCAATTCCCTCAAGCGTTTTCTATTCCAAGCTTGTGTCTACATTCAGATTTCGATACACTTTTAACATCACCAGTAAAGACCGAATCTGACTTACAGACAATAACGGACCCAATTCGACAGAGACCTTCGGTTTTCCAAAATGCATCTGATCCAGAGCATTTACCGCGCTGCATGGGCAACGTTCTGTCTCACCGGCTTAACCGCAGGTGTACCCATAGCACCGGCTTTCCACTTAACGGCACGACAACCCATCGAGCCAGATCTCCAAATCGACTTCAACGCCCTCCTCGACGGGTCTTTAGGTAACCTACCCGCGATCTGGATTACCTCCCACAGTCTTCTTGCCGAGGCCGCGCCATCTTCAAACCTCACGGTTTCTTCTCGCGAAGATCGTACCGACAAGGAGAATGGCCTTGTCGCCGCTGCCTTCATCAGCTCCCTGCTGATTCCTGCTGCGACCGGCATCGCAGACAACGGCGTCACTGGGGGTCTTTGCAACGCTATCATAAATGGAGCAGGGGGCATGGCTGGCGCCGTTGTTGGTCAAGAGGCCGGCAAAACACTTTACCCACAAGGTAACGGCACCGATGGAAATGGCACATCGGCTCCAGAGATGGAGCAAGGCATTGTTCCTGGTGCGTTTATTGGTAGCGTCGTTACCAACAGTCTTGGAACTGCTCTGGCTAAGAGTATCTGCGACAAATTTCTCCCCGATGTTGAAGACGTCATAAAGGAGGCTGAAGCTGGAGTTGCGGGTCGGGTCGCTAACTCACTGAATCGCGGTCTCAAAGAAGTTTTGGTGAGCCAACTAGAAGACATGGGGGTCGAGACCGCGCGGGCAGTACAGTTTGCAAGTCAAATGGAAGAGACGATTCGCTTGGTCGACAGTACCGGCAGTCTGGCCACAGCTTTCGAATACCTCAATCGCGAACTCGCAACCAACACCGCAGAGCTGGCCGAAGCTGTAGGAGCCAAACTATTGAACAAGCCAGCAATCAGCAACCTCGTTCAACTAAGCCACAACACGCTCGCCAATCTACCAGTCGCAGGTGTAGACGGCATTGCGCTGTTGCCGTTCGACCCTGCTGCCGATCCCATAGGAATGATGGCTAAGTTCACCAACCATTACAGGAATACCATGGAGTTTGCCAAAACTCTAGGCGGGAAGATCAAAGAAGGCGCGAACCGCGTTTCCCCTGCTTTGGATACAGTGTCCCAGTCGGTTGAGTCAGCTATGCAAGGTGTCGACTCCATCATTCCGGGCACGGCAAACAGACTGATCAAGGATGCTACTGGTGCCGCCAGAAATATTCTGGACCATATCCCAAACCCCCTTCATAGTCTTCCGAACCCTTTCGACGCTCTATTCCACCATGGAGGTCATGGTAGCGGCCACAGTAGCGGCCACCATACTGCTCCCGGATCAACTCACGGCGGCAACGGCGAATCACACTGTGCTCAAGCCACGGTGACTATTACGACTACACTTTCGCCTGCTCCAACCCAGACGCCGAATCGAAACTTGGCTACTCCGACCCTGGGCTCGTGCACCTCGTACCAGGTCATTCCCACGTACACGACGTTTACACGACACGCGACTGCAGTGATTACGCAGATACAGACGGTACCTTCGTATGTCCAGGTCCCTCAGTACTTTGCAACCACTACCACGCAGACTGTGGCAAAGTATGTCCAGATCCCTCAGTACGTGCAAACGACTGTCACTCAGGTTGTGCAGACTACGCAGGTTGTGCAGACCACACAGGTGGTGCAGATCATGGAACACGTAACGCAGACTGCCACTCAAACTGTGCAAGTCCAAGCTGTTGCCACAGCGACGCCTGGATACAATTGGGCGAACGTGAAAGGGAGCATGCAAAGTTGGTGTTCTGTGGCTACCTTTCACTGTCGCGGTGGGCGCCCTCACAATCACGAGCTCTGTAATTCGGTCTGGAACTTGTGTGGTGGTTGCAGCATCTGGCCTGACCAGTGTGATTATGGGCATTGTGTGATGGGCTGTGCCTTAGCAGATATTAGCTAGAAAGCCTCTAGAAAACTAGTAGATAATATCTTTAGCTCTAGAATATCCAGCCGAGCTCTACAAAAATATCTTTTCAAAGTACATAGTCTGTATTCATCACGTTTGCAGTAGTCATAGTATAGATAACAATAAAATGCTTCATTGCAAACATGAACACCAAGCTATGCGTACACCCTCATCCCACTCGTCGCGACCGAAATGCTCACATAAAACCCGATTACAAAAACAAATGCTCCATCCAATGCATCCCTTCCTCATCCATCGCCATCATCTAACCATAGACACCATCTAAGCTTGAGCAGCCTCCAAAAGCTTCATGTGCTGCTCCGGGTGCGTCTTCTCAACATTGTTCTTAGCAACCTTCTTCATCATGAAGTTGGCGTCAATGTCAATCTCCTCGCTGAGCTTGCCGCCAGTCACACGCCACTTGCCGCTGATGGTAAGGACACCAACGGGGGGTTTGGCGTTGACGAGGGAGTCGACACCCTCGGAGACGTTGGTGAGCGTGAGCTTGTAGGTTGTCTGCGGTGAGTTAGCATCATATTAAGGAAGAAGAAAAGCGGGGAGGGAGGGCTAGTCGTACCTGGCCAATGGGCTTCTTGTCGGTGACGGTGTAGGTAGCGCAAGTAGTCTTGTCGCCGGACTCGAAAGCGTAGCTGACGAGCGCTGGGCAGAGGGTCTTGATCATGAGGTCGTGGTTGTGGAGAGCGGCAATAACGACGGCGGCGTCGACACCGTTGAGGGGAGTGGAGATCTGGGAAGTAGGCATCTTGACTGATTGGCTGTTGATAGAAGATTTGGTAGAGGATTAAAGGAACTGGCCGGCAGTAATAGTGAAGAGAAGTAGTTGGTAAGGCTGTGATGAGTTGATGAGAGAAGTAGAAGCTTGCTGGATGATGATCTATCTCCACGGCGAAAGGCAGCAGAATATATACATCTCGCCCGCTTCCTCATTCCCTACCGGTCTTACTCGCGTCTGGAGACCCCTACTCTACTCTCCATGACCCTAACCCGTTGTCCAAAACGTCAAGACGCAGTCAAGATGCATGTCTTACACCCCTGACACGGCATGGCGTCCCTCGCTCTACCCCAACATCCATACAGTTGTACAGCTTACCCACGCATGGCGTGTACTACGCCGACGATCATTCACCCGCCCAATATCGAAATAGTAGCTACCGAAACGCGTCGTCTCCGTTTCCGAGCGCCGGGATAGGCAATGTCTGTGCGTTGGCGCGCTGGGTTGGGGATGGTGAGGTAGGACGATCCTCGTTAGCCGAGAGATGTCCACAGGGTTGAATCGTGGAGCTGTGACGCGGATACTCTGTGTCTGGCACGTTTGAAGGGACGAGTGGTAGAGCAAGAGCTGGAAATAGCTGATCTGACAGTTTAGAAACATCTTTCGAGTCGCGTAGTGTCAAACAGAACTGTTTGCACACTGCTTGTCTACCTGTGACGTCTGTGTCCGCGCTGCTCGCGTTCGCAAACGAGGTCGTTCCTCAGCTGGAAACGCTATTGCGCAAGGCGCCTGCAACGCTCATTGACGCTGTCGATCATGTATAATGCTTACACGCAGATAAGAACACGAACTCCCACTCTCCGGATCTCCAAGGGCTCGGTCGCTGTTTCTCCGTGCAGTAATTGGGTGCTGGGCGCGAGCAGTGTCGGAGTGTTTCGCTGGTGGGTTCGCAGAATCGACGGGCGCCGCGGGTTGGGGAGCCGTGCTGCTCTAGCGCAAATCTTAAGTCAGCTCGCGTGGGTGTCGCTGTCGCCTCGTCTATTTTGAACCGGTTCACTCATCGTTCGTGCGAAAGGCAGTTACATGTTTGCTATTTTCGCGTTTATCGCGTTTCATTGCTTGCGCGGAGTGCGCATGTGTTCGCATGGCATCCATGGGCCGTATACATTGGATGCAGCGCGGCCTCTCCGGAGCTCGGCCGAGGCAGGCTAGACTTCTCCGACATTGCCTCTAGTACGTGATGGAACGGTGGAGAACATTGAGTAGGCACGCTTGATGTTTTGCAACTTTGAAGATAAATTGATCGCCTGATGATGCATCATAATGCATACAGCCTTGGAAATTCCCTGACCTTGATAGAAAACGCCTTCCTGTGCACCACAAATACAGAAACAACACAATCGCTAAAGCTTCGACTCTACCACCGCATCCGTCTTGGCCCTTCCGCCTGCGAAATTTACCCCTTCACTCGGCTCAACTGTTCCACTCTTGTTAATCAACTGCAACTTTCTCAGCCTTGAGATCGGCTCATCATCATCTCTATCCCTAACATAAAATGCCCAGTCGGCCGTAGGATCAATCTCCGTTTGCGAGTATCCATTGCCTAGCCATGAGAACCTGTTGCCAGTGTATTTGACATCCCAGTCCTCCAGTCTGAGCTCCATGAGCGCCTCGATGT